TGCAAGGGAAATAGCTTAGGTTTGATTTTTTTCCCTTTATTGTGTCTTTGCAGTGTGCACCTGGGCAGTTACCTACTAGCTTTAAGTTAAACTTTCCTACGAATAAATTGAGGCATTTGGAAAAGATGATCCAGGGATTTTACCAGCTTACCTCATCTTTCCCAGATACTCTAAGGATTTTAATTCATTGGGTTTTAGTTTAAAAAATCATACACTTTGAGGGCTGAGAGATCTCCCAAAATTCACTGCCATTAGTCAATTCTGACTCACAGAGACGCTGTCAAACAGGGTAGCACTTCCCCTGGTGGTTTTGAACTGCTGACCTTTTGGTTAGGCACCCAACTGTTAACCCTCTATACCACGAGGGTTCCTCCTGAGAGAACTTAGACATCAGATTTCACTTTAAAAACTTCCCCCAAACACCAATGATTGGTCCTAAATACTGTGACTTGCCTGCCTTATTACTCCTCGTATTGTTCAAGATAAAGGAGCCCTACTGGCATAGTGGTAATGCGTTGGGCTGCTAACTGCAAGGTCAGCAGTTTGAAACCACTAGGAGCTCTGCAGGAGAAAGAGGAGTCTTTCTGCTCCCGTAAAGATGTACGGTCTCAGAAACCCAGAGTCAGTTCTACTCTCATCTATCAAGTTGCTATGAGTTAGTGTTGACTTTATGACAGTGAGTTCAAGATAACTGTACGTAATAAAAGAACCAAGTTAGAGTGGCTTGAACAAGTAGTTTTGAATTTATCATACGACAGGTCATTGGAAAGAAGTGATCCAGGACTAATGGGGAATCTTTTTTTTTTTTTCCTAATGTGGAATCTTAAGAGATCTGCTTTCCTTAAGCTCAGTCTCTCTTACTTGTGACTTTTATCCTTACGCATATCTCACTTCATGCTTCAAAGATGGCTATTCCACTCCCACTCCCGCCCCCTGGCTCCAGGAAGAAGGAAAAGGAAGGACAAGGAACAATAGAGTATGCCTCCTTTGTAAGAGCTCTCTTCAGTGTGACTGACAGGTCCTCTGTCGTAGGAATCCCCTGGCTGTCAGGAAAGCTGGCCAATAGTGTTCTTCAATGGACGTTTTGACACTGAACAGAACGGTTTCTGTTAGTCTGTGTGAAGAGACTAAGAGATTGTCACACCCCTTAATCCTTGAGGTCAGCCATGACAAACAGTTCACAGATCATAACAGAACTTTGACTTATACATTGAATTGCACTATTAACTCAAGTGAGATGCATTCCTAATAACTCTCTAACAAAAGACACGAGAGTGGTGAGTAAGTGATGCTGATTGTAAGATGCAGGAATAATAGCAGCGCTCTGTGCACACATGCGAGGGAATCCAGTGTAAGGCCAGCAGATGTTTCCTGAGAAGGTCCAGAAAGTACATCGTTTAGGCTTTGAGGGCCATATGGTTTCTGTTGGACCTACTCAGCTCCGCATGAATGCAGAGATAGGCAATATATTAACAAATCAGTGTGACTGTGTTTCCAAAACTGTTGTTTACAAAAACAGCTAGTGGACTGGATTGATTTGCCTCCAGGCCGTAATTTGCTAATGCCTGATCTAGATTGTCTGCAAGATTAAAAAAAAAAAAAGATTTAAACTAGGATATCTAAGGCGTATCCCAAGAGGCAGAGCGTTCCTAACCAAATCATCTGTTTGAGGCCTGGCTGCAGAGCACTGCAGCAATGCCATTCTAGGTCAAGCGCTGACATTGAAGGAGAGTCTTGGCAGTGGGTGGCCTGTCACAGCCACCAGGGCAGATGGAATTACACTCTGCTTGAGTTCAGTATTTGGCGTACTGGATTATTCTTCAGAGACCTATGCCTGATAAAGTCAGTCTGCTTACTACAGGGATCCTCTTTAGGCAGCAAAGAACATATTTTCCTGAATGGAAGCAATGGATGGAGTGTCCAAATGTCCATGTTTGAGCTGTTAAGAAACACCTTTGGGACCATAGAAAACCATCAGAAGGGTCGCCTTAGAGACGAATCCTACATGCTAATGCCTTGTTTCTCTAGTTCATAGATAATATATTGAATAGCTATGTATTCTGAGCGAAACAAGGGGCCTAGTTCTGTGCTCAGTGCTTTCAGGACCATGTGTCCTAACAGACTCTCTTGCACACCAGGAGACCAAAGAGAAGCATTGCTTCATGGGCACGGTACAAGGGTCGAAACGATTCACCCAGAGGCAGCCTGGGTTTTCGTTCTGGCTCCGAATATAGCCCCTAAGCCTGACTTTTCTTTCCAATTTGCAGATATAAGGCATACCATGGAAAATTGGTGTGATAATTAAATATCAAATATTTTTGGCACACAGTGAGCGGGTACTCAAAACTGTTAGTTGCATGTATTTTATATGCTTCAAAAATCAGAACCCGCACACTCTGTGGCTTAGTTTCCTTTACAAGGAATACTGTGGTTTGTCCTTCCGTGGGAGCCAGTGGAAACTTCCTCTGCTACTGCATACAAGAGCTCCTCCAAAGCACCTTTGCATGAGAGAGATGGTGTCTTTCCAGAACAACAAGGCACGTCTCAAAGTCCACACAGCACTGAAAATGCTCTTTCCCCAACAAATGCACATTAACTCAGAGCCGTGGAATGCCCTTTCCCGTGCCGCTGAGTGTGTTTTGATTTACCTAACAGATAGTTTGTGGGAAGGCCCAGTCCCCTACCATAGGCTTCTGCTGGGTGGCCTCACATTACTGTGATTACCAGACTTGTAAGAAAGGCGCAGATCGGGAAAGGAATATGCAAAACCAGAACATACAATAGGGCTCCTTTGGGAAGAGTCACGAGGAAAATCCAAGCATTCCCCAAGAGAGCTCCTGTCTTGCTCTGTAGTTCATAGGCATACTTTAAAAGGTGGCCATGATGATTGCATTTTTCCCCCAGGACATTTGTGGTCCTTCATATTGGTACTCATGCACGAGAAAAACTTTACATCCTCCCCCATCCTAACTCTTCTGTTCTGGCGTGAACGTGCGTTTAAGGGTTCTCGGACAAGCTCTTAGAATGGATCTTGGATCCAATGGGCTTGGATCACCGCACAGCCCGCATCATGCCTGCATCCACGTGTGTTCTTCAGTCAAAAGTGAAGTGCATGCCACAATCCTACTTTTTTTTATTGCTTGTACACCTGATAGGAGCTCTGGTGGTGAAGCAGGTTACTGCATTGCTTGCTAGCCACATGAGTGGCAGTTCAAACCCACCAGCCAGTCCTCAAGAGGAAGAAGAAGCCACCTGCCCCTGTAAAGATGTGCAGAAGTGAAAATCCCAGGCAGCAGTTCAACTCTGTTCTATAGTGACACATGAGTCAGACTTGGCTTCATGGCAGTGAGGTTGGTTCTGGATTTTTAAAGTCATCTGATAGGGAGCTAAGTCCTTTTGTTGAAACTGCCTGCCACGAGTTTTGGAAATTGTTAAGAATTCAGAGGTACCAACACTGATTTTTCTAGAAAGTGAGATCACACAATTTGTAGTTGGTAGGCGTGAGATTCGCTTAGCCTGCATGGGGCAGTTACATAAGGAAGCGAGCCATGCCATCAGTTGCTGTGAACTTAAATCTTTGGAAGAATCTCAGAATTCGGGATGTTGCCCCTTCCTCCCAGAACCATGATCTCTCCCCACACCGTTCCCAGACAATCTGATTTCATCTCAGTGAAAAAAATTGCAGCTGACATCCTCCTGGGTAACGCACACTGAAAATACTGAAGATTTGAAGACTGCGTGCTGGCAAAGACAAGCACAGCATTGCTCGTGATGGACTCTGTAAACGATGTCCCTCTGAAAAAATGCTGTTGGGCTGCTCGTCTGATGCCATTGCCAATGTCAAACAGCAGGATGTTGAGGTTGCATGATCTTACCTCAGCTTCCTCGCTTGAACTCAGCAATTCCTAGAACTTTTCTGTTGTCCCAGCAGATTCCATCTTGCCTTTCATTTTCAGATGCAGCTGTTTGTACTGCTCACAGGGGGCGGATGGAGGCGCCCCCCCACCCCACCCCCGCTCTCAGAGTTTCTGACTCATTGGGGAACACACTTTGAGAAGCATCCCCCCTTCCAAATTTAGGCAGTGACTGAGTGAACCCTGCCCCCTCGCCCCCTTTCAATGAGCACTTTGCTTCTCTGCCATTTTCTTTAAGTAATTTAGCAAATCAGCGAAGTCTGCTTCCAGTAATCACGGTGGCTGTTGACAGCAGCTGTCAAAATTAGAACAGGGTTTTTCTAAGGTTAGAGTAAGATTCTCATATTAGCATCACCCACATGCAAGTTCCTACAACCGGAGATTGAATGTGTCTTTGGGAAGGGGGTTGGCTGAGTAGTACTGTGGCTGCTAATTTTTGTTTTTGTTATTATGTTTGCTTCCAGGAAATTCAGCTGCAGTCTGGACTGAAGGCCAATACAGATGTCCAGGGCGGTCTGGCTATTGATATTTCAGGTTCAATGGAGTTTAGTCTGTGGTATCGTGAGTCTAAAACCCGAGTCAAAAACCGGTAAGCATTATATGTATCATGCTCGGTGCACATTTAAAGAATCTTCTGATGTCTCAAAATTTGTACTTTTAATTTATCATCATGAAATCAGAGTTGGAAGTGATCATAGGAAAGCGTTCTGTCTGTTTGTGTGTGTGTTAGGTGCTGTCAGAGCAGTTTGTCTCCTAGTGGCCTGATGGGCACCTTTATGAAAGACTGCCCAGGCCTGTGCCAGCAACCCCGTTCTACAAAATACTCTTTATTGTGGATTGGGTGAAGGTTTTCAGAGCAGGTCATTCATTTTCCTTTCAACAATTCATACATTTTGTTTCCTCTCAGTGCCCTCAGTGGACCATCACTAATTCTGCTTTCTCCCTGTTTCCATTCCTCCTTTCTTCGAACCCAGGGGTCCTCAAACTATGGCCCGCGGGCCCCATGCGGCCCGCCGAGGACATTTATCCAGCCTACTGGGTGCTTTTGCTCTATTTATGTTTTTACTTCAAAATAAGGTATGTGCTGTGTGCATAGGAATTTGTTCATAGTTTTTTTTTCAAACTATAGTCCGGCCCTCCAACGGTCTGAGGGGCAGTGAATTGGCCCCCTGTTTAAAAAGTTTGAGGACCCCTGTTCTAACCCTCTTAACTTTGACATTGGGTAAGTGCTGCTCTTTTGATTTTACATGGGTGATTATTTTACCACAGGGGTGAGTTCTATTCCAGACCTGGAGGGTGATTAAGGGATATACTCCTGGGACCTTGCTTCTTTCTAACCAGTAAACTTGGCCTTTGATGATGTTGATTTCTGTTCCATATGTTTCTCCCACTCTTTCCAGGACGTTCTAAAGTGATCCTTTTCAGAGTAGCTGACGTGGTAGCCAGGCACCATCTAGTTCTTCTGGTCTCAGGATTGCAGAGACGGATGCTTTCATGTTCCAGTAGTGCACTGGACTAATTGTTTCCATTGTCTTTCAATTTTCATTACTCTTCTTTCCTCTAGAGGGGAAGAGACTAATGGTTGGACCTTCCATGGCTGCTCACAAACTTTTAAGACTGTATTAGGAGGTAGAACGTTGTCTTTGTGAACGATGTAATGCCAACAGATGTTGATGGCCCCCTGATGGTTCCTGATCTCTCAGGCCTTTGTAGCTTATTCCCGCAAGGAGTCTGGTTATGCCTAAAATGTATTCATAACGTGACCTTCTTTGTGTGCTACCACATTCTTGGATATATTTGTAGCAAAGATAAATACACATACACATCTCTCCCTTGTTGACACCCACCTCCATAGCTAATTATGCGTAGGAGGACTTCCCATTCTAGTGGAAAGCTTCTTGGAGAGGCGAGAAGCGTCTTGTTCTTAAATCTCTCCACACACTGCATGACCTGTAAGTCTGGCATGCTGCTGTAGTAGTTAACATGCTGTCAGGGAAGGCTGCGTGGAAGCTGACTTTTTGCTTACCTCTCTTATTGGGATTTATAACCTTTCCTTTTTTGCTGTCTTCTGTGGAGGCGGTCAAAAAACACAATCAGTTTTGTTAAAAATTCTTAAGCATTCCTCAAACCCATTGCCATTGAGTAAATTCTGGCTCATAGTGATCCTACAGGACAGAGTAGAATTGTCCCCGTGGGTTTCCAAGACTGTCAATCTGCACAGGAGTAAAGAGGCTCATCTGTATCCCCCAGAATGCCTGTGTATTCAATCTATGACACTTCTGGTTAGCAGCCTCATGTGCAACTCACTATGCCACCATGGTGCCTTTAAATGTGAGACGTCTTCACATTTTCATTAGCATTTCTTTTTCCAAACAAGCTCTTCATAAGTCCTTTAGTTTTTCCCCCTGACATATGTTGTGGAGATCAAAGGAAAGCATTTTATTCTGAACATGAAATAATATCTCTGAATCTGTGGAATAATCAAAAGTATTTTCTCCTGTTTGTTATAGAGCTAAAGAAAAGGAAATGCAAATGTAATTTATTTTCACCTTTCTAGATATCTACAAGTTTGGTGGGGGATGGGGTGGGGCAGGGCTAAAAAGAGATACGTGATACAATTTAAGCTTTGATTCATTTTGAATTAGGAACACAACCACTGAAAACACTCAAAAGACAGCACTTTAATCTGAAAGGAGGCCCACAGTATTACTTGAGGTAACCAGAGGAGAAACCAAACTGGCCGAATGAGGACCCAGCCATACAAGGAGGCTGCCAATCATTCCTGGGAATGCCCAGGTCTTCTCATTCGGTTTCTCCGCAAGCTCTTTGCAGCCTCCGTGTGCAGTTTAGGGCTTCCCACTGGATCGGTCATGCTTCTCTTCTTCCTGAAGTCTTTTCTGGTCAGAAGTTGGCCCAAGTTTAACCGAACTGAATTCCTTGAAGGGAGAACGAATAAGAGCAACCATTCTGCAAATTAAACTCTGCAAATTAAAAAGGACGCAGCGTCTTTCAGAATCTACCAGGAGCCACACTTTATCCAAATCTCCTCTCTCTCTCTCTCTCTTTTTAAATGTGTCCATTAATTCATTTAAAAGTACATCTTAAGCTTTTGCCGAATATATGATATTATAGATAATAGGAGAGAGTCAGGATCAAGAACACATGAGCTCTGACCTACTTGTACACTGATAGGAGTTTTAAGCTGCACAACAAAATCCAGTAGTACATCTATCAAAAACACCTAGGAATCTGAAATAATTGTTGAAATAATAAGCCACTGCTTTACTTAAAATACACAATTAAATTATGATGGTCCTGGAGGTAGGGTTTTTGGGATTATTTATCCTCTTGATTATTATCCAAGCCATATTTCTGAGCCAATCCAATCTGTCTAGTCCATCCTTTCTATTATCACTAGTATATGTACCAGCAGGTGACCTGCTGGGCTGCTAACTGCAAAGTCAGCAGTTCAAACATGAGTAGCTCCATGGGAGAAAGAGGAGGCTGATGTACTTCCTGGGAAGACATACTTCCTGGGAGCCCCCTTGGGGCAGGTGTGCTCTGGCCGTGGGGTTACTAGGCGTCAGAGTCAGCTCAGTGGCAGTGGGTTTGGCCTTCGGCCTTCCTGGGGCACCCACAGTTTATGCCCACTCTAGAAACTGTTCCTTGTAACATCATATTTTTCAAATATTTCAGAAGCCACAGTTTGCTGTTTCTAGAGATTTCTCGGGGGAAATAATGACTATGGAATTAACATAGCTACGTAGAATTGCCAACAGACAGATACTTACCCCGCAAATTGTTAGAGACACCAACTCCCTTCTGAGTGAATTTAGACATCCTTTTAAAACAACTCAATGGCTCTGACCTCCAGAGAGGATGGGGTTCCAGGTGTGTCTGTACCTGGGCCCTTGGTATCTTCGCACCAGACAGTACCTGAAAGGTACGTCGTTCCTACATCTAGAGTTGAAGCCTGGGGAAGGAGTTGGAGATGAGCAAATTCCTGCTGTCCAGTGCCGGGGATGACCCAAGTCTCGGTGACCACTGAGCACATTCTGATCACCTATCAGCCCTTTGTTTCCTCCTGTGAAACGATAGCTATTACTCCACCTACATGAAAGCGCCATTTTAATAGGGTTGGGGTATTTTCTCTCTTTTTTTTAAACTCCTAAATCTTTAGGGTGGCTGTGGTTGTAACTGGTGACATCACAGTGGACTCCTCTTTTGTGAAAACGGGCCTGGAAATCAGCGGGGAGACAGAAACCGGGCTGGAGTTCATCTCAACAGTGCAGTTTTCTCAGTACCCATTCTTAGTTTGCATGCAGATGGACAAGGACGCGGTTCCCTTCAGGTAAGGAGTGCTCCTGGAGTGGCCCAGGTATCCGTAGCTCAGCAGGAATTTGCACTCAGCTGTGAGTATTGGAGTATATTACTAGAAGAAAATGTAATAAGCCAGTTGGGTGAAAATGTTGCTTTGAATAAATGCTAAGGCTAAAGAAAATCAGTTTCTACGATACAAAGAAAGTCTGACGTTCCTGTGATTCTGGAAATATCCCTTTTTTGAATCCAGAGATTATCAATGGAACAAATGAATTTGATTTAGCAAAGGAATTGCCACATGATTTCAACACAAAATATCGATCCACGTTTACTGTACCTTCACAATTGTTTTCTGGATAGAAAGTTCCCAGCAACATACCTGACGATTCATCTACCATCGTTTAAGGGCCCAGAGATGAATTTTCATTCCCAGATATTCCATGAATGCATAACTTGACTTTTTTAAGTTTCAAGTAACTCTCGAGAATATAGATTTTTGAATTAAAAAAACAAAAACAAAAAACTACTTGTAGTGGAATTTTTAATGTTCAAAAAAATCCACACAAAAAACAAATGTATAACTGGCCATGTAACATCCCTGATATTTCTTCTACTCTAGAGCCTAACTCTGATCTGAGCAGTGCCCACTGGATCGGTAACCAGTATTGGCAATGATACAGTCACATGGGGCTCCAAGGACGAGTAGAATGCTTCGGCTCTGGGTAGTGTGGATTCTTCTTTCCACAGTAGTTGTAGAGGTCTTCTTGACACACATGGGGCAAGTTGTAGGCTTAAAGCAACAAGCCTCACTGTTGCCACAGCTTCTTCTTTGACAAATAGGCTAGAATCAAACACTTCATTTTCTGAGCTATGATTCATGTAAAGAATGTTATACACACACATTCACATACATACACACAGGTATGCTTCATTTTTCTGGCATAAAATACTTCCCGCTGTAGTTAGAAGACTAAACTGCCACTAACTTATACTAATTATGTTGAGAAAAGCCTTTATTTGAAAGCAACAACTCCCAATGATGAAAATGCCGTGAATAGCAGCCCAGCTACCTTGCTGTCTGGTCGTGTCCCGTATTTTACTTGGGCCAGAATTCTGGGACTGTGTCCCTGTCAGCATTCCCAGCCTACGTCCAGTTACATGGGGTGCTCATTCCAACGGGGAGGGCTCCCAAGGTGGGGCTTCTGGAATGAGGGGTGGGAGACACAGCAAGGCCTGCAAAGCTTAACAGCCTGTCCCGAGAGAACCATGAGGAATTCAGTCCTCCCTTAGAGAACATTGTGGGCAGGAGGCTGCTGTCCCAATCATGGGTAGTGTGTCTGTTAGTAGGAAAAGCAATGGGGAAAGAACATCTGTCTATTTGTCTATTTGTGGCCAGGGAAGCTGGTCATCTTCAGGACCTGTATGACTATCTTATCTCAAGGTGCTTGGCACAATGAATCTGTAGTGCCTACTCAACTTGTGTGCTTTCTCATTGTCATGCAGGCAGTTTGAGACAAAATATGAAAGGCTGTCCACAGGCAAAGGTTATGTGCTTCGGAAGAGGAAAGAAAGGCTGGTCACAGGATCCGAATTCCCTCTGCACCAAGAGAACTCTGATATGTGCAAGTTGGTGTTTGCCCCTGAACCGGAGACGGCGTCCAATGGCTGGTTTTGAGCCTCATCTCTGATCCTTGGCTTGAATCCGTCTCCCTGCAAGGGATAGCGTGTGACACGTGTATGTCCTAGCTCTGTGAGAGCACAGTGTTTACATATTTACCTGTATTTAAGATTTTTGTAAAAGCTTTGAACAACCTGAAATGTTAAAATTTGGACCTATTCGATATGGTGTCATTTTGAATTCATACATGCGACACTTTTAGCTAAATTAGTAGTTTTTTGTACCAGTCTTAAATCCCATTTGATATACTGAGAATAGTTTTGCTCTAAGAACAAAACATTGTTTGTAAAAAAAACAACAACAAAACACTCAGAAGATGCTTTTTGTTTAACAATTTTCAACCAATGTATATGAAGACCCTTTTTTTGACAGAACATTAAATGTGACTTGATTTCTACCATATATGTTGCTTAATCATATAAGGGGAAAAATAAAACAAAACAAGCTTTTCTTGTTCTTTTCGGGATTTGGGGGTTTTAAAAGACTTTTGTCATTCAACTTTAGGAAGGAATAATTCTGCCTTCTGTTAGTAATTTCATTAAGTATTACATAACAGGTGCTCAGAATCAGGACACGCAATATCACTTGTCTTTTTATGGATGATGGGGTCAGACTTCTAGAGAAAAAAAAAGCCGTTCCATCTTCTTCCTCCAGCACGGTAAAAAAAAAAAATTTTTTTTTTAAAATATTGATGCTTGCAAAATTAACTTCAGAAACTCCATGTGATTTCTTTTATTCTGTGTTCCTTTGAGCCTGTGGTGTAGTACCGTGTCCTTTGTAAAGGACAGACCCACATAGATACACATGTGTATCTTTGCCTCTCTTGTTTTGTGATGGAGTTTGCAGTCTTTTCGCTACAATCACAGATCTAATTTAATCTAGCTTTAGAAAATTGATGGATTAAGGTTTCTGAAAAGGAGAAATCAGGAAAGAATGCCTTTCTTTGTACAAATTGAAAGGACCCTGTCACACATTATCACTTATTTATTAATAGACAGACACATGTTTATAGTGACAAACCCGTGATGGGTACTTGTCCGTCCATAGACCTATGTGGTATAACACTCAGAGAACACATCATCAGCTGTAAATTGAAAATGAAATGTCATGAAATAAACATGTGGAAGTTCTATTGAATTCCTTTTTGCCTTTCATTAATTTGAATGCTACAATATTTCTCCTTTCCTGCCATGTCTGAGCCCAGGTCCGTGGAAGCCTCTGCAGCTTTGAAGAACAGGCCAGATTTCCTGCATGGAACAGGCCAGCGTTTTGTAGAAAAAGGTCACTGAAGATCGCAGAAAATCTTTGAAGCATCTGTAAGCTTAAAAATAAGCTATGACCATATATACTCGAGTGTAAGCCAACCTGAATATCCGCCGAGATATTTTACCACAATGACTGCACTAAAAATGTATTGAAAAACTTGGCTTATACTCGAGTATACACGGTACGCCATTTTCATAACCCTCAGGCCCAGCATTCTCACTGTTAATATAATTCCAAGGGAGGAGGGACTCCCAAACTAGGAAAGGCAGGTGCAGTATTATCTGCCTCACCGGCTGAGAAGGCTGCTCTTAGTTGGCATCAAGTTACCAGTGAGTTATGGCAACCCGGTGTGTACAGAATAGAGCTGCTTCATTGGGTCTTCAAGGGTGGCCGTTTGGAAGCTGACAGCCAGATTTGTCTCCCAAGTGCATGTGGGTGGGTTTGAGTCACCCAGCTTTGGGCTAGTAGACAAGTGCTTACCTGTTTGCACCACTCAGGGGCTACAATTCAGAGAATATGGACCCATAAATAACCTAAAATAAAACTCAATGTCAATGAGTTGGGTAAGATTCATAGGGACATTATAGGGCAAGGTAGAACTGGCCCTGTGAGGTTCTGAGACTATAACTCTTTGTGGAAGTAGAAAGCCTCCTCTTTCTACCTCAGAGCTTTTGGTGGTTTTGAACTGCCGACCTTACGATTATAGTAGTAAGCGAATCTCATATGCCCCAAATGAACAAGGTGCCGGAAGGAGAAGGAAAACATTAACTCAGGATAGAAATTTCAGAGGGATAGAGTAGCACTTCATATTTTTAAATGACATATTGGAGCCCAAAATGTTACCATAACCCTCATTGGCAGTCTTCTGTTTCTGACCATATCATGGTTACTAATGGAAATCCCAACCAGCTTTGTCTTCTGCAAAGGCATCTGTCTGAAAACCACACAAGCCCCTTGGCCTCAGTCCATGGGCATCACTTCTCCACAGTCAACTCCTTTCCTCAAGCCTGGAGGAGAGAGTCCAGCTGTCTTTCTTCTCGGGGGTACACTGTCACTGCGTCACTTGTTAGTGTTTTGTCCACGACAGCTCTCTTTGATCATGACTGCTCTTTCAATCTGACCAATCAAAAGCTTGTTAGAGCTTGAATCTAGCCATTGTTCCGAGGAGCTCTCTGCTCCCATGACAAGGCGAACACTCTCAGAAACTCATCGGGGCAGTTCTACTCTGTCTATCGGGCTGCTATTTGTTGAAACGGACTTGGAGACAGCGAGTTGAGCGATTCCTGAGTGCTTACTGCGTGCTAAATATTCACTCATTTAATTCTCATAGCCACTGTATTTAGTCAGTAGAATTATTATTCCCATATTAGAGAACAGCATTGTCCAATCGAAATGAATGAGCCGCATAGTAATTTGAAGTTTCTAGGGATCTCTTTAAAAAAAAAAAAGAACTTAAACAGATGAAAGTAACTTCAATAATGTATTTCATGTCACTGACTAGATCAAAAATGTTATTAGCGTGCTACTAATATAAACAATAAATGGGCTGGAGGGGAAGATTGAGTCTACAAAACCTGATGTGTACTTTACATAACCCACTGCTGTCAAGATGACTCCAAATAACAGAGAACCAGCGGACCAAGTGAAACTGCCCAAGACAGTCTCTAAGGCTGTACACCTTTGGATAAGAAGATTGCCACCTTCTTGCCATAATTTTTGCTTTCAGGGTAGCTCATGCATTCAAACTGCTCGCCTTCTGGTCCAGAGTCAAGCACTTTAACCACAAAACCACCAGTCTCTTTTTTAACCACCCCCTGTCCTCTCAAAGTCTCCTGTTTTTCTCTGTGCTGACTTCCCCCATCTCCATGAGTGTTCTTTTTCCTTTAGGGCAGGCGTGAATGTGGAGTACAAATGTGCAATCCCAGGCCACACCCTCCCTGCCCCCCCACTGCCTTGTTGACATCTGCAGTGTGGCGAATTATTTAATTTAATTCTGCAATCCATCGTCTCTAACTCTGCCCAAATGAGTGCCTTGCTGATGCTGTTGTCATTAGGTACTGCTGAGTCAGTTCCAACCCATAGCAACTTTTGCACAAGAGAGTGAAACATTGCCCTCGGCGTTATGCTTGAGCCCTTGTGGCAGGCACGGCGCCAGCCCATCTCCTCGAGGACCTTCTTTTTGTGCAGATCCCTCTGAGTTTGTAAAACTATGCAAGTCTGAGGGGCTTGTAGCTTCCCCAGGGATTGGATAGTGTACCTCTACAACTGTGTGCTGCACTGCATTAGATGGGGTTCTCTAGAGAAGCAAATGTCAGTCATGCTTGTCTGTATCATTGCGTAGCTGGTTATATGTTGGGCTGCTAACCACAAGGTCAACAGCTCGAAACAATCAGCTGCTTTGAGAGAGAAAGATGAGGCTTGCTACTATTGTTTGTAAAAATACAGTCTCAGAAACTCTCAAATGCAGTTATACTCTCTCTGATAGAGTTGTCATGAGTCAGAATCCACTCGATGGCAGCGCGGGTTTGGGGAGGTGCACAAAAAGAGATTGATATCAAGAAGTCGCTCACCCAGTTGTTGGCTTTTCAGTGGCATCCATCCAGTCGGCTCTAAAGCCGAGCCACCCTGTGCATAACAGAAACGGAACCTTTTCCCCTTGATCATGATGTCACCACTGGTGTAGTTGTGAGGATTCTTGTTTTCTTTATTCTTGAGTTATAATCCATACTACAACAGTGAAACACACAGTTGTAGAGCTAGTGAAGTCTAATCCGGCTCAAGTCTGTGGGTCAGCCAGTAAGCTGAGACTTCTCCTGACTCATGGAGGTTAGGGGGCTGACAAACTAGGAAGACCATAGAATGCAAAGTCAAATACAAGATCAGCAGTGTGCTGATGTCAGGAAGTTGATGAGCCAGGTGCAGGAGCCAGATCTAGCAGAAGTGAAGCTTTCCCACAGAGTCCGCTTAAAATGGAGCAGGTAGCACCACCCCCAAGACATCTTTCTTCCAATTGCCTCCAAGCTGTGACTCTTATCATAGGCGCTGCATTCCATGATAGCCCCTAACTGCTCACGGGGTTGACTATGCTATTTAGATCCCATCGTGGAGTTGATTACATTGTATTAGATCCCATCATGGGGAATTACTGCCAAGCTACTGAGAATGTTGGCCGAGCCAAGTTGACACAAAGCCTGTTGTTCGGTACTATTGTTAGGTTATTGTTAGGTACCGTTGAGTTGATTCCTCTTCCCTATGTACAACAGAGTGAACCGCCCCCCTCTTCCCCATCCTCACAGTTGTTGCTGGGTTTGAGCCCGTTGTTGCAGTCCCTGTAGCACATCTCCTCGAGCATCTTCCTCTTTTTCAATGGCCCTCTATCAGGCATGATGTTCTTTTCTAGGGATAGGTCCCTCCTCATAACATGAGCAAAGTACATGAGATGAAATCTAACCATCCTCACTTCGAAGGAACATTCTGGCTGTACTTCCGAGACAGATTGTTTGTTTAGGCCATGGTGCTTCGCTGCTCATCACCAACACCACAAACCCAGTGCGTGGGTTCTTCTCCTGTCTTCCTTCTTCATCGACCCTCTGCCACATGCATAAGAGACCATTTAAAATACCCAGGCTGGGATCAGACACACGACTCCTCAGTGTGGCACCCTTGCTCTTCAATAATTGCTTGGGTGTGCTAAAAGAGGAACTGCAATTTTCTCAAAGAAGGAGGCTTTGACTGAACCTTCAGAATCTGGAAATTTGCATTTGAAAAAGATATGGACTCACCAAAGAATGTTATAATTCAAATGTGGTAAAATTTATCTATTTAAAATGTACAATGCAGTATTTTTGTACACTTTGTGAGTTGTACAATTATTTACATTCAATGATAAATTATAGAATATTTGCATCACCCCCCCCCCCCCCAAAATAGCAATCACTTCCAAATCTTCTCATTTCTCAGCCTGGGGTAATTGCTAATTTTCTTTCTATTTCTATGGATTTTCCTGTTCTTCACATTTTGTGCAAACACAATTATTTAACATGTGACCTATTGTGACTGGCTCCTTTAACTAAGCATAATGATATACAGTATGAGTCAGTACTTTCTTATGATTGAGTAATAATCAATTGTATGCATAGACCTCATTTTGTTTATCCATTCACCAGTTGCTGAACATTCGAAGTTTCCGTATTTTTGCTACTTTGCCTAAAACTGCTGTGAATGTTCAGGTGTGGAGTGTTGTGTGCCTACATGGTATAAAGACTGTAAAAGTGCTCAAAGCCTTAAAGGATCATGAAACAAAATCCTAAAGGAGAGGCAAAATGTCAAGGAAACTACATCCAAGCTAAGCCAAATGATTTCTTTACCTCTACCTCAGCTACTACTTAACCAGAACCAACCTTTTCTCCTTGCGGTGTATCAGCTTCCTTGGCTATTCGCGACACCCGATGACACCAGTGAAGTGGGGCCTGCTTGCCGCCAGCTTGAATGTACAGAGACATTCTCAGAGAGCCTCTGCTCACCTGCAAATCCCATTCTATGAGGTTACAAAAGGTAACAAGATGTAGATTAAAAAATGACATTATTTGAAGTACCTTAGCTAATCATTTACCTTCCATTCTGGGATTTTAAAAAATTTTTATCCAGAATTGCATTAGTAATCCTTTGCCACCCTCCTATTAATAAAAATTTTATTTATTCACAGTTGACTAGGAAGATCACATAAACGTGTAAGCTATTTCAGCCTTCTATTTTTACTAGAAATAGCCCTGCCATAAGCTTCTAGGATTACATTAAAAAGTTCAGGCATTCTCTTTCCGGAATAGGTGGTAGGCTTTGATTACCTGGTTCTTTTTGTTAGTGCAAGTCCA